TGCGGGCGTGCGGCCTGTGGGAGCTTCGCGGCCCCGGCGGCGCTTGCTGGGGCCGTTTCCGCAGTGGTACTGGGGCCGGGCCCTCGTCTCGAAGCCTGGAGCAGTTCAGCAGTGTTTTACTGTGCTTAGCCGCGGTGAACTCTGCGCTGCTCTTACTGATAACTACTGGCAGTTACATCGACCCGGTCATATAATACAGCTTAATTGTTGCACATTCTTGCCAGTGTTTTCTTTGGGAAAAATATGTATCAGTGAAGTTTAACCTGCTTAATAGAGAACTGAGTTTCTAAACAATACTGGAGATTACTTTCTTCACGTTAGAAGATTGTTTGCCGTTTGGTTTTGGGGTTTTTTTGTTTGTTTGTTTTTCATGCAACACATTATATCCTCAACTGAATATCTTAATTTCTTGTTGTATTTAGTGATACAGGATGCTGTTCCTTTTGGTATTGTGTGCAGTTGTGCTAACAGGGAGTAGTAAAGTTCAAGATGATGAATGGATTGACCCCACGGATATGCTCAATTACGATGCAGCATCAGGAACAATGAGGAGACCTTACAAGGTAGAGGAAGAAGGGACGTGTAAATACCTGTCTCTCCCAAACAATGCGTCAGCCACGTGCTGTTGAAAATTACAGAATTATGGTCTTTTAAATGTCTTAAAAGATTGCAGCTGAATCTGTACACAGAAACGTGTTGTGCATCAGTTTGTTAAAATTGCAAGGAAAAAAACAGCAATATATATTGTTGCAGATAAACGGCTCGGGGCCTTTTACTGACGAGCATCCCATTAGTGTGGGAATAAACCCCACTTAGTGTGTGAAGGTATTATGATAGTCCATGGTGTTTTGTCATGCTGGAAGGAAGGTCAGAATAGGGTTTGAGTGCTGCATTGTTAATAATTCATGAACATTGAGGGGAAGAGGAAATATGAAAAGCTGGTTTTAATGAGGCAGATCATCTCGGTTGTCTTGTCTGAGGGGTGAGCTCTACATGTGTCACAAAATGGATATCATTTATCTAGTACATGGGTGCACGCATGGCACTGTGAACTGCGGTTGGTTGAATGGGCACCCTTGTTTTTTGTCATTCTTCAGCTTTCAAGTTAGATTTTGCAGTTGTGAATAACACTGTTTTAACACATCATAACACAAACATTTCTGAAGCTTAAAAAATACAAACTGCATTACTTCTCTCCACAGAGTTCCTCCTCAGCCTCCACCTGCCCTAAGTCCAGCTGATTGTCATTAGCATCCCTAGAATTCAGCAGCAAGCTTTGGAGTCTTTAAACTTGGTTCAGCTTTCATTAATTAATATTAGGAGTTTTAGTGTTGTCTCCCAGAAAAACAGAATTGCATCTCAACCCAAAGCTTCTTCAATCTATCTTTTCAGGATTTCTTTTCTGCTCCACAGAGAGAGATTTTAGGTAGGCAGGCAGGTGCTGCGGGCCACCTGAATTCTCAAAAACCAAACCTCATGTCAGCACAAGTTCACTAGTTTGTGTGATGTTGCTTTTGGAGACTCCTCCATGTGTGTACTTAGTTGTGTAGAAGCACTGCTAAAATCAAGCCTGACCTGTTAACAGGAAAAATGGGATGTTTCACAGCAAAAGGGGAACATAAAAGGAAAGGCATGCAACCCAGAAAGGGGCTTTGTGTTTACTTTCAGTCTGGCTGGCTGCGTGGCCAGCTGGACCAGGAATGTGTCTGGCTGAGAGCTGCTCCTTTGCTTGCTGAGTCAGTTTTTGGCCAGTCCGATTATCTGATCCGAGGCGCTGTGCTGCTCACCAGCGCTCGGAGTAGGGGAGGGCAGGGCAAGAACTCAGCTTCTAAAGGCAGCGTGTGTTTGGGTAAACTTCAAGCACTTGTCCCTTTCCAGGTGGAGTGTTGTTGAGAAGGTACTCACAGCAAAGCCCAAGGCTCGCTTTTTAGCTCCTTTAAAGTGATCTGACTATAGGCATGTAACATAGCATATTGGTCAAATTCTTTGGTTCTGAAAACGTGTTTTTCTTACAGGCAAACTATCATGACTCCGAGGAGAAGACTGTGGATGCAGTCAGCACTGAGATCTTATCAAGTTGTTCCAGGGAAGTCGATGCCTTGCAGCAGAAGGTTTGTTGGGGAACTTCAGAATATTTTCTAGCCTTTTACAGCTTGTGCTTCCTGATGATGCTTTTCTGGTTAGTATAGAATGGATTAATTGCTACCTTAATTTGTGAGACCATGCCTTATGTAGGGGAAACCTCTTTGTTCAGAGTGACTGGGAGTGGTTTGAACTCAATTCCTAATTGAGTTCTGCCTACTGAGGTCCACTTCCTAAAAGGAAGTTTTATAGTATAGCAGTTGATGGGAGCAATATGCTTCTGTCTGGTGTCAGCAGCTTAAACGGGTGGCGTTGATGTTACACCATGCTACCAAAAGCTAAACTTTTATTTCTTATATTTTCGATTATTGCTAAACTAAAGAAATGTGTCTCTGCTAATCCTGAGTTTAATGTTTTTCAGGTTTTTTTCTTCCTGTGAAGAAGCTGGTTTGAGTAAGAAGTACATAACGTGTGTTCCTGTTGCAGGTTGCAGACTGTGAGAAGAGGAACGCCAAATCACGTGGAAGCCGGAGCTTTTATATTTTTAAGCGATACTTGAATAAGATATTAAATGAAGCTGGAAAACTTGGCCTTGTAAGTATTTGAACAGCCATTGACAGTTTATGTTAATGGTGGTTAAACTTGAAGAAGCCAGATTTGTTTGTTTGTTTGTTGTAGAGCTTTTGGGCCTTTGTTTTAGACCCTACCACGTTAAACATCCAGGAATAGTAGCTTGATGGCATTTGCATGTAAGAATCACCTTGTTATTTTCTTCATCATATTGTCATTGGAGATCATTTTTCTATTCAGAGGTAGAGGAATAAATTTTTAGCAATAAGAAAAAGTAATGTTTGGCAAAGAACATTATATATAGCAATGTGAAATGTCTTATTTGAGTATTTAATAGCTTCTCTCTGTATTATGCAGCCATGATTGGGGCACACATAGCACATTTGTGATTATTGCTTGTTAATGAGTTGTGGTTCTAAAATGCCAGTAACAAGTGAGAACTTGCTTCATTTTTTAGGTGTTTTGCTGTAGAGTTGAAAGAGTACAAAGCAGCTGAATTCATGTTTTATATAGTTTAGGAGAATGAACAAAAAGGTTGCAGAGTCAGCATGCTCCCTGTCCATGCCTTCATCCTGCAGTGTGCTTCAAAAGGTGCTGGTACCTAAGGAGGGTATATAATCAGGGTTTTGCCTAGGTAGTATGTATTTCTATTTCCAAATAAACAGCTTTTAACCATTGTTCTGTTTGCTTTCAATTCAGCCTGAGGGAAATGTAGACCATGTCCATTATGATGCTGAGATCATCCTTACAAAACAGACGTATTTGGAGATTCTCAATTTTCTCAGTGAGGAAAGTTGGCAGTCAGGTGCTGTGGATGATGCACTCAGTGGTATTTTGATCAATTTTAAGCACCATGATTATGAAGCTTGGCACTGGAGATTTGAAGACACTTTTGGAATTGATGTGTATAATATGTTTCTGGTAAGAGAGGAAGAGAGGTTTTTTTGTTGGTTTTTAGTTGCTGTTTTCTCCAGTTTCTTTGTCAGAGTCTAGTAACAAATATTACTGTCTTAATTCCACACATAAACCAGTTCTTCCCATCGTACTTACAGTGAGTCACTCTTTGTGAATAAAAAAAGTGACAGAGAAAGTCACTTCTCTGAATAATTCCTTACAGTTCATAATATGCTAACATGATATGCTGACATGATCTGGAAAGTAGACTGTCTAGTGTTGAGGGTGTCCTCGGAAGCCAAATAACCTTTGTAACCTGAAAAGTGTAACCTTTGGATGGCAAGAGACTGTGAGGTGCTTCTTTGAAGTCCTGCTGCTGTCCACCAGACTGTAAATTCCTCCCTTAAGCAGACTGCAGGACTCGGCAGCAATGATTTCATGGTTCATACGGACACACACCACTCATGCACTGAATTACACCAGTTTTACCATTTTAAAGTATGGTAGGTAACTTGATAAATATTGTAAGTAAGAAGTAAATATCACAAGAAAGCAACAAGAAGCTGCAGTGTGAGCTGGGATAGGAATGACTGCTAGTAATACCATGGAACATTCTGCCTTGTGCTGCTGCAGATCTGCTGTGAAAGCATGGAGGAATTCTCCCAGCTGGTCTGTGTAACTGACACTAGTGAAAACAAAAGTTGGAAGTTCCTTCATGTGTACTGGCAGTAAGCTTGACAAATTGCAAATCTGGATCATGATATTTTCCTGTTTTCTTTTTCAGATACTCTTGTGTTTAGTGTGCATTGTAATTGTTATCGCTACAGAGCTCTGGACACGCATTCATTGGTTTGTTCAGCTAAAACGTGTTTTGTTAATAAGTTTTCTCATCAGTTTTGCATGGAATTGGCTTTACCTGTATAAGGTAAGTTGTTCTGAAATCTTAAGGGCTCTTAGGCTTAAAATTTTAGTTACAGAATCATAGAATCGTTTAGGTTGGAAAAGACCTTTAAGGTGATCAAGTCCTACTGCAAACCTAATGCTGTGTGAGGGATTTATAGTTATTTAGTTCCTTGAATTAGTTTATATAAAGCAGTGATGGACCACAAGGTAAATAAAGGGATGAATGTTCTATTTTGCATGTTGACAGGTGTATTAGGCTTAAAGAACAAAACAAATCCTGCCAACTTTTGTTCTGCCGTGCAGGTGCATAAAATTCATAAAGGAGTGGAACTGTAATTTCACTGTGTGGGCAAGGGAGACATGAACGCTATCTAAAGCAGCTTGGTAGAAAAGTCCTATGAAAATATATTGTTGGGTTGGTTGGTTGTTTTTTCCTTTGGAAGAGTCCCTGGCTGAATCTGTATTTAACCTCTGACAGACCAGAAATAAATGCTTCATGATAAAGTAGCCGACTGTACAATGGTATTGGTTTTAATTACAAGGAACTTAACACTACTAGGTCGTAGCCCAACCACAAAATCTCAGTCCCTTAAACATCAGAATTTAACTGCAGCTTGTCAGAGCCAGCAACGGCTGAATGCCAGAGAGCTGGACGGCTCTCGAACGTGAGTGGACTGCTGCGTGGAGGACGTAGGTTGAGTCACTGAAGAACGTCAGAGGTTTTCAACAGATTATTTGGCTTAATTTTCAGTGATAATGAATACAGGTATTTGCAATGGGTATTTAAAAAAATAAAAGAGAATGTCCTGGTGGGTTTACTGTTTCAGTAATTGTGCAGCAGCTGCCTCCATTTTTAATCCAGAAACATTTTAAGGAAACTAGATGTCATCAGATTACTTTTGCCCTGAACCTGTATGTTATTAATATTGAAGTTTGCTCTTTTGGTAATTCAGACTCCGTTTGGAGACTGTAATCAGAGGTGGCCATCTTGGTACTTTTTACCCATTCCCAGGAAGCGCTTAGACCTCGAGCGATTTAACACCAGAGTAGCAGAGTTTTCTGGGTGCAGAGCTAGGCGGGTGGTAGGAGCAGAGCTCGCTGGCTGGGGGCGTGGCTGGCGCCTGACGAGCGCCCTGTTTGCCCGCAGCTGGCCTTCGCCCAGCACCAGGCGGAGATCGCCAAGATGGGGCACTTCGACAACGTCTGCGCCGAGAAGCTGAACTGGAGAGACAGTCTCGTTGGTAAACACTTTGTTATTTCCTCGTAGTATCTTAAGACCACAAAATATTCAGCAATAGTAAGCAAGAATACTCTTATTTCTTCACGAGTAGTACATTGAAATTTCTTAAGCAATGTACGATCCTGTAGTTCTGTAATTTTTCTATTCCACAAGACTTTTTTTCTAGGCTTTGTAGCTGAGCCTTTGAAGCATGGAGGAGAGCTGATCACCAAGGTGTCCTTTAGAGCATGTCATGGTGTTAATACTTTCCCTTATAACCTACTGCATGTGTGCTTCCCCAGCTCCACTCATTTCCCCACTGCCATTTATTGAAGATAGGAGGGCAGAATTCCAGAAAGTTTTTTTTTTCGTGTACCAGGCCTGCAGCTACAATGGACTTCAGAAATTAGATCTGTAACTACTTACTCAAGTGTTACTAATTTACAGAGAAAGATGATTTATGGGTTTTTTATTAGCTGTTAGCCAGTGCTGTAGCAGGAGGATTCATGACAGCCACTTCTAATGAGTGCATATTATGGTCTTCCCTTTTATAAGTTATTGACTGTGATTGCTCTGTTTATGTCAAATTTCAATAGTTCATGATGTTCTGACTGCAGTGAAATCAAACTACAGAAACACTGAAGTCTTAACTTTGTAACTTAAAAGTTCCCTTAAGGAGTAAGACTTCCTGCTTATAACTAAAATAATGACTTGAAATCTAGCAAGCACAGTACACATTTTCCATGTACCTGCAGCTTGGCAGATGAGCAATAACTCAGAATTGCTTCTTTTTCAGTAGCTGTGAACAAAATGTACTAGATAGTAGTTCCCACAGACAAAACTTTTCTTCTGAGGCTTCTAGGGACTAAGTTCATCTAATAAAGAGGACTTTTCTTGACTAAGCATGGGAAAGCCCCTGTTTCTTCTCGTTCTTTCTGGTTTCCTGGTCATTCCTGCAGCCCCATGACCAGACAAACTACACAACTGAGCTAATCTCAGATTTCTAAAAAACCTTAGAAAAGTATCTAGAAGAGTTTTCTACTCAATCTATTACTACTGAAACGCTACTTTCTGTATTATTACTGTGTCATAAAATACATTTTTTTTAAAAGTAGTAAAAATATGTCTGTGCTTTGACTACAGAATGGCTCACGAGTAAATGGACGTTTCAGGATGACCCCTGTCAGAAGTACTATGAAACTCTACTAGTAAATCCTGTTTTGTTGGTTCCACCAACAAAGGTATACACCAAGCCTGAAGAGACTGTCCACATTGACATTTGTGATTGATGGGCAACAACACCTTTGTTCTGTTTGCACTTCTCTAGGCATTGGCAATTACTTTCACCAACTTTGTAACTGAGCCTTTGAAGCACGTAGGACAAGGTATTGGTGAATTCATCAAAGCGCTCATGAAGGAGATGCCATTTATTCTGCAAGTGCCAGTGCTAATTATGATGGCTCTGGCTGTCCTGGTTTGTATGCATTTACCTTACATTAAAAAGCTCGATTTTATTTTTTTAAGATATTAAGCTCATTTAAATATTATTATTTATTTATTATTTGTACCCTGAACTGATTTCTTAGGAGAGATGAAATTATTTCTACAAGGGAATTTTTTTCTTGACAAAACATTTATAGTACAGTTGGTTTAACAATTAAAATAGGTAAGTTTGTAGTGAAACCACACCTCTCCCCCATGCCCCAAGTGGGGTAAGAGAGCATTAAACTGCTTAAAATCTTAGGCCCTATGACAGTTTACTGCAGCTTAGTTCTCCATTTCTTCTTTGTGTCGTTACACAGCGATGCACATAATTGGCATCTTGTACACAAAAGGATGGAGGTAGAGCCTGCTGCGTCTGTGGTGCTGCGAGAGCTGCAGCCAGTCTGGCAGTTCCTACAGTGTGGTCACAGTGGAGAAAGCTTGAATTTTGCTTTAGCTGTTCTCCTTACCTGAGCTTTTCTTTTAGTGTTTTTTTTCAGGTACAACTTTGAATTCGTGTGAAAACCATAGGCTGCAAATGTTTGACTTTTTCTTCTTTTTATTTTTTCCCTCCCTCAGGCTTTCTGCTATGGTGCAGGATCATCGGTGTCTGTGTTAAGATACTTGACATATTCTCAGAAGAAAAGTCTTCCTCCACCTGACAGTCAACAAGAGAAAACAGACTTTGGGCAATATGGGACTATATCAGATGGCTGTCATTTGCAGAAGTCTCCATACACTCACAGAGGACCTTATGACAGAGGAGATGCTCTTGTGAGACCAGGAAATGGCAGCAGAAGTCCTGACATAATGCACACAAGTGCTAAACCAGACACACAAGTAGAAGAGTCTCACAAATCAGAACCTGGCGTATGTTAGTCCTGGTGCTCTTTAAGCTGGGATTAAATTTAAATAGACTTCAATGTCATCTGCTAGAACATGTTTAAACAACAAATTTAACCCAAATCCTGGGGAGAAAGGAATTAAGGAAGTGCCCGTTCCCCTCTAGACCAGTTCAGTAGAGGTGTCTTGACTACCTGTGTCAGCAAACTGACAAATTAAAACTGTTTATAGTGAAGACTCCTGTTTTGAGAGATCAGTAGTAAAGTCAGCCTGGGCAGTGATGATTACCCACAGTAGAAAGGCAGGGGCAAAAAAAGCAGTGCTGACTTTTCTATAGACTGTAGAAAATTAAAAGCAAATTTATACTCTAGATGATTGTGTTTATTTACATGTGCTGTTTCCCCGTGAAAAAAAGATACCTGTCATGCTTCGGGAGAGTTCTGCTGCTTGAGCAGCAGCACCTGAAGCAATAGATGCCATCACTTTGCATTGCTTGGTTAATAGCTTGCTATTGATTTTTACAGACTAGATTGCACACAGAGTCTGAAGCTTGTGGACTAGAAACTATCACAGCTGAATCCCTTACTCAAGAACATGCATATGAGCAGCAGGAACAGGAGACTGGCAAAGCAGAGCGAGAGACTGGAGAAAATTGTGATCCTAATAAACACCTAGAAAGGAAAAGTTCTGCAATGGCACCATGTGAAGAGAAGAAAAACAGCAGTCATGGGACTGAAACTAAGGAAGCCCTAAGTCCTGCTGTAAGTTTTGTCTAATCTTTAGTAGTCGTGTATTTGCTAGTTCTGCTCTGGTTCTCAAATGTAGAAAAGAGAACATCAGTAAGCTGAAGGGAACTCATCCTTGGTCAGAGCATAGCAGAAAGGTGGGATTTTTAAAATTGAGAGATTGAGTATATGCACTATTTCTGGAATTTGAAGTAAATGTGTTAAGGTAACAGAACTTCAACTGGCCAAGAAAACAGGCTTGTGGGTGTTGCTGCTTGTCTGAAACCCAGTTTGTGTGATAAATTCGGAGTAAAACTGTATATTCCGTGGTGGGAAAGCACTGACACTGAAATCTAGCAAATAGAAGCTTAATCATGCAGCTGTCAAACAGCTTGAAGAAAGCTGCTAATACTCATGTAACTCATGCAGGACTAATTGCAGCTGAGCTGGAAGTCTTGGGACTACCTGTTGGTTTATATTCTTTACAATCGGCCTTTCGCAAGCAGAACTGCTGCTTGTCAGCTCAGCTGTAGGACAGCTTGATCATTTTCTTCTCGTTTGATTTTTAATTTGCAGAGGAGTGAGCAGCTGATGTTGTATCAGATGTGTTTTTAGGACAGTTTGAAGCTGAACAGAGAGTAGAAAGCACTCAGTAACTAAGTACTGAAGATCAGCATGATAAACTAATGCTAGCATATGGTTCCAGAAGAATATTTTGCCATTTTTCCTTAAAAGCATGAAGAGGACAGTTTCAGCAGAAATCACTTTTCAGTGCTAAAAAAGCTGCAAGAGATGTAACTGTGAAATAATTTGAATCACACCTGTGTCTCTTTAATTGTACAGTGCCATTTTGCTCTGAAGCTAAAATTAACTAGAGATTCTTCTCCAGGGCTTATAATACTTCAGTTAAAAAATGACATCATTTATAAATACCTAAAGTGAACACTTTAACATCAAAGGTGGCAAAGTCAGTGGCTTCTAACTCAAGATACCTACACTTGAAACAGCATATAGCCCTTCAGGTTCCCAAGAACTACCCCAGCATAGTATGTCCTTATCAAGAGAGGGAGAAGTAGCTGAGTTCCAGTAATAAAAAATAAGTATATCTATCTTCTGCACTGAGTAATAAAGGAAAACCCTTCACTAAATATTATTGAAAAACCCTGGCAGGTTTTGAAGACTTCTTTTTTTTTTTTTTTTTTTAAATTGAACAGAATTAAAACTAGGGTTTGATTGGTTTGTTTAATAAAAATGAATGCAGAAACTCAGTTTGGAAGAAAACAAAGACAGACTAATGCTTGAAGCTATTTCTCTTTTTTTTGTTTAAATTATTTTTTACAAAACTATAAAAGAAAATAGGACCTTTTTCCAGGGAGGTACAAATCAGGAAAAAAAAAAAAATCACTTTTTCTTTAAAAAGAACATACACATTTAGGTCTTGCACTAGATGAAGACAGTGATAGATCCACCCATGAGAATACCTTGAGAGGGAAAGAAATCCCGTGTTGGTGGAGCAGAGGCAGTTAAGAGGGAGAGAGTCATCGGCATCCCGGGACACTGCCAGGAGCAGCTGCCGAGGGCGGCAGCGGCTCTGCAGGTCACAGGCATGATGCTGCTGCTATTTGTACAAAAAACAATTAGAAAGGGGACAAAACTACTAATTGCAGTCTTCTGTAAAAAGGCTTGTCTGTTGTTCTGAAAAAAAAAAAAAAAGCAAACCTAAGATGCTACTATACAGTATGCGTCTGGTTGTTTCTTCACCTAGAATTTGGTCCCTTTATAGTTGAGGGTAAATGGACTCTTTGTTCGTCCATTCTCTTCGCTTGTGATCTCAAAATCAGGCTGAAGAAGTCCTCATCTGGTACAGTCGGTCCTTTTGCAGATGATGGAGGAGCACATCTTTGATCATCCAGCCTGGAACCCTACACAGACCAAGCAATAAAACTGCATATTTACAGGAATACGTATAATAAAATAAGTGAACAATAGAAGTGAAAAAATTACTAAGTTACTACAAGGATTTAATTTGCAAGCTTTGTTTCAGATTAAACTTCTCAAATGAAATTAGCAAGTTAAGAGTGCAAATGTAGCTAAAATGGTTCCTCCAAACCACTTATTCACATGTGTCTGAAAATAAAATCCAAAATTTAGTTCTCGTTCATTTAAGCGTCCTTTGTCCAGAAGAATATTAGCACTAGTACATGGTAGTTCTAGTCTTGTATAAGAGTAAAGATGGTTGTCTCTTATATAGGGAGGAAAAAATGGCCAAACCACTGTCAGACTTAGAAAGGCAATACTGGGAGACAGTTTTTCCTCCAAACTGAGAACTCTGGTACATTTTAATCACAGTGCTTCAGAGCAGTGTGCTGCCTTCCCACCTGAGCTAACATAGTTGGTTACCAGTCTCTGAATTTTGTATTTTGAAATCCTTATCAATGCCATCAGGTAAAACACACAAGTCTTTTTAATTAAGTTCTTTCTGGTCTAATTGCTATACATACCATGCTCTAATTGACAATCAGATACCTCACTTGTATATTGCTGTGAACTATTACTTAACATAATTAGAGTGGTTATCACCACTAAAACTTTGATACTGATTTATTTCATTTGATAAGCTTAGATTCCTGGTATATCAGATGCCTTCTTAACAGGCCAGATCTAACCACTTTTTCTTAAAATCATTTTATATACTCCTTTTAATAGCTTTACTTGCTTCCCTTCAGCTTTTTCAGCATTTGTTACTTTAAATGGTTAACATGGTATAAATGCCAAAATGACACCTACTAGACACGGGATAGCTGACAAAAAAAAAATATAAACAAGAAAAATTGTCATTAAAAAAAAACAACATCCTTGGATAAAAACAATCCTAATTTTTTGTTCTCTATGTTCTTCCTTATCTGCCAAATCAATTTATATCTTAAAAACACATGATAAACAAGGTTGCCTTGCTTGAAGAAACCAAATAGCAGGATGAGCAAATCAAATCCTCAAGCTCGGAATCTGAAGATTTTTTGTAAAAAACTTACCTGGCATTTTATCAGTATATCAAAGAAGTCGTCATCTAGCTCCCTGTTGTTACTTGCCATGAGGTGGCCCAGGACTGCCTGGCTGCTGTGCTGCTGACTGAAACGCAGCCCGGGCAGGTGGCTGAAGCTGGCGCGTTGGTCGTCCAGCCGGCGGCTCTGCGAGCTGGCGAGCAGCTCCAGGAAGTCCTCCGTGGGAGGGGAGACTACAGAAGCAGAAAAGGCTGGAGAGGAGGAAGAAGACAAATTAGCCTAGAAATAAGTTCCTATCCCCAGTAAATCTTGTATCCAAATACATTGTTTTAAATAGTATTTGGCAGGAATGAAAGTCAAATACAGATTTTACTTTGTAAAACTTACATTTTCTCATTGTTTTAGGTGGTGTAGAGGATGCTGCCACTGAAGCAGAAGAAGAGGAAGCTGCCACTGAGAATCTGTTCTTCTCCTGGAAGTAGCATCTCTGATCATCCATCCTGTTACTCTGGAATCGGCTCAGCAGATCAAAAAACCCTTCATCTGCCACTGTCTCTCGACTGTTTTTCTGAAAAGGAGAGAAGAGTTAGGGGTATTTTGAACTTGGGAGTACCTAAAACTAGGACAATTGAATTGTGGTTTCTTTACAATAATATGTTTGGAATTTGCATATCTGCAATCCATTAAAAAAATTAATTTAGTCATCAATTTCTATAGACAGAGATCTATCGTAAGGGGCAGTGCTAATAATACGGGAATCGGTTTTGAGTATGTAAAATGTATTAGAAATGTTTCATTCTCTGACACAGAAAGAGTAACTGATCGATACAACTGCAGTTACTCCTCCTCGGCCATGAATCCACCAAAAACCCAAATGCCCAGAAAACAATAAAACAAGAACAGCAATGAATAGCTCCCATTATTTGCTCAGGTCTGTGGTCAAAAGCACCCATCTCTCATCTAGATCAAATGACTCAGTTCTTTTTTATTTTTAGCTGACTTCCGTCAAGAGTGCGATAACCTAAAAAAAAGAGAAAGTAAAAAATACCTCCCACTGTCTGAATCAGAAAAACTAGATCTTATTTTATTTCTCAGTTTGGAGAAGCAAGGTCTAGAAGAGATTAGAAATAAAATATATGTGCAAGCTGAGCTGTAACTTTAGAAAATCCACCAGGAAAAACGTGTTCCAACAGCAGGAAAAGCGTGCAGAGCTATAAAATGGCAGATTTTGCATCATTTTAAATCAAGTAGAACTGAAACAGACAGCTGCAGGAATGTGTTTCTGTAATTTTTATCAAAGATTAGTTAAGGTTGTGATCTCCACAGCTCACCAAACCTACCCTCTGAGAGCTGGAAAGCCGATGATCAATAGAATTACTGGCATCCTGCAAAACTTTGGAAGCGGTGCTGTTTCTGTACTTTTTGCCTTTTAGTCGATTTACAAAATGCAGTTTTGCTGAAGGTTTGGCAACCAGTGGTTTCTGCTTAGCAAGGATCTCACTGTTCCAGTTCTGAACCTAAGAAAATAAGAGCCATGAAATTCAGCCTTCTAATTACCTATACTGTTACCTCTTATTTGCTGCTGCTTTCCCTCCCCAAACTGAAGCAGCTTTTACGTTTAGTTTACCCAACCTAAAACAATTTTAAAACTGAGGCTTTCGTTCTATTACTCGAGCTGTGATTACTGAGGGTCTATTACCTGAAGCAGGTTAGTACTGTTACTGTTCAGTCTTGTAACTGAACCGTAGTGTGACACCTGATTGATGAAAATGTGGTCAAATCACACATGTAATCATACTCAAGTTTCCCTTGCTGACTGCAGTGCAGGAAATGTAGTTAACATGAAGGCTAAAATGCAGACAGAGCTGGCATTTTCCACTTGACATTCTTATAATTGGGAAGAAGAAGAAAAAAAATTAAATCCGTAGTTTTACAGAGCATTAGAGCAAAACAAAGCCAGATATTCAACAAGCCTTCTATGAAGTCCTTGATATACACAAAATTCCCAGTAATGATTGAAAAGAAAGAATGAGAAGAATGCCAGCAAATGGGAATAACCATCTTGTTTCACTGAAGAACAGAATGTACAGCTTTATCAACTTGACACATTTTTCCCTAAATTATCTTCTAAAATAAAGCAAATTATCCTCAAAATCTTTTATCTACAACTGAGAAACTTTTGTAATAACTGAATACCCCCCCTTCTTTTTCTTCATTGTGAACACAGTGGCGAGTCTTTCAGCAGCACTGCCTACCCAAAGGGGTGCCTTTTACAGGCTTACTTAAGATGGGCACAGATTCCAGCTCCGAGGAGATGGCATCTGGTACAATCAAGTCTTAGTGCCAGTGTCATATGTTGTTCTATATATCAAAGCCATTTATGGAATGAATTTTCAGAATCTACTAAATTAATATCCTGAAAAAAGCCCTTTATAAAAGCTAAGCTGTAATACTAGGTTAATACTTTATTACAGAAGTGACACATGAAATATTTTTGTATATTTAGGGCACAGACTATTACAGGCTATGTATTTTAAAAGACATCAGAATAGATTCAGCGAGTAAGCAAATACAGCTGATACAGGGAAAAGCTTAGAGGTCCCCTGGAGGGTA